TACACTTTTTAGGAATCTTTTAATATTTAAAGTTTGGCCACAAAACTTTAACGGTTTGACAACTTTGATCTCTTTTCTTAAAAGTTGCTAATTCCTACCCCTTGAATTCTTTAGCCATTTTGACACTTCTGGTCCTTGCAGTCAAAACTTTTACATTTTTTCATAAAAACATGAAAAAAACGGTCCGGGGCAAAGCCCGAGCTTTTCATCCTTACACTTTCTACGTCTGTCATATTTATCGATTCGGAAACAATATTGAAAGCTTCTGGCCCCCGCGTAGCGGGGGTAACCTTTCTAGTATATATTAAAAATGTCTCACCTTAGGAACAGTAAAGTTCCTAAGGATTTGACAGTTTTGGTCCCTTATTTATTGATGTGGGTTCAATTCTATCTCATTTGGGCTGCTCTTTGCAGTGGGTCATTTTTTGTCACATTGTATATTTGTTTGTGGACACGTGTTCTTTCACACATATGTTCCCGCATCCTGTCATGCGCAACTACTCAGCTCCTTGTCATTCCACGTTTCCTTCACCGCCTCTTAACCCAATCCATATATCGACTTTCTTCCACCGCCTTTCACCGCTTCAATTCTCTTTCCCCCGAGTCACCGCCTCTCTCATCGGCAGTGGCGGACCTTAGTGGAGCCCGAGAGGTCCCGGGTTACTGCTCCGATTCCGGCACGTAGTGTAAAAATGATTTTTTTTATGTTTTTTCTATTAACACCGGTTTAAAATACGAATACAGTGTAGTCGATCATCTGGTATTTTGTCAATTTTCGATTTTCACCATCCTTCTCGACTTCTTATTTTCTTTCTCTTTTTCTATATTTTGATCCGGAAGATGGGAATCTATTTCAGGTGTGATTGTACCATCAATCGATCCTAAATCAAAGAGTCTTCACTTTTGACTGTTAATACCGATTCAACATACAATGATTTCTGCTACCGACTTGGATTACTGTGTGAATTTTGGTCTGTTCAATCGATCTCTCAACGACCATCAGCATAGCCGTTTATCATTTGGTGACCATATAAATTTTACTCATGTGCAGGTTGTTTTGGTCATCTTAGAAGAATTCTTAGTTTGAAATGTCGTCCGATGA